TTAAACGCATTAGCCACGGCGCGGATAGGCTCATTCATCCCATACTGTCGGTTACGAGTCGCAAGATGAACGAAGTTACGTTGTCTCATTACTCTCTCAGGTGCGTAGAAGTAGAGCTGCCGAAGTAGTTGTGGGGAGTCAATTTCACCGATAATAATCTTAGCGGCAAAGACAGCTTGAGCATTACGTCGTCTTGTTTCCAGGGTATCAATCCCAAGCAGGCGGCAGCGGTCCCCGTATGAAGGCAAGTTAGATGCATCACGCCAGGGTAGATGACGTAGCGCGTAACGAACAAACTTCCTTTGTACACTCTCAAATCTTGCAATCCAGCAGGCCTGATAAGGGCACCAAACGACAGCACTGAACTCCAAAATAGAGCGGACCAATGAACAATACAATGCCCGCAGGCACAGCGGGTCACGAAAGTCTTCGGAGATTTTGAATATAAAACCAAGCTGTCTGTTGGCTTTGTTCAGGACGTCATTGTAATGGGGCTTGAACGTCAATGCACAGTCAAGAGTAACTCCTAAGTCTCTGACTTGACTAACTCTCTCCAAAATCTGGCCGGAGATGGAATAATCAAATCTGATCGGTTTCTTCTTACGGTAGAAGGATATCACATTGCACTTATTGATGCTAAGCGTCAAGTAGTTACGGGAGCACCAGCTTTGCATATGATCCACAATCTGTTGCAAATCCTCACAATCAGCGATGCTATTGATGATCATGTACATTTTAACGTCGTCGGCGTAGAATAGTCGGCATCCAGGTGGCAGTAGACGAGAAAGCTCATTGATAAACAACGAAAACAAAAGCGGTCCCAGATTACTTCCTTGTGGAACACCGGAGATGTTCGTGAATACTTCAGATTGCGAGGCGCCAATCTTAACGCAGAGCGAGCGGTCTATGAGATAAGACGTGAACCATGAAATCATGGAGTCAGAAACGCCAAGTTTTTCAAGTTTGCCCAGTAATATGCAGTGGTCAACTCGATCAAATGCAGCCTTCAGATCAGTGTAAACGGCGTCGACTTGTCCACCAGAATCCATGGTCCGAACGCAAAGTGACACGAATTCAGTCAAGTTTGTCGTAACTGACCGCTTTGGATAGAATCCATGCTGAGCCGTGGAAATGTAGTTTTTGCAGGAACTGAAAAGTGCCTCGTTGATGATAATCTCGAACACTTTGTAATATTAATTTGCCAAAAGTTATAAGGAGATTTCTATCCGTGTACAAATTCAAATGGATTTGACGATAATTAAAACCAAATGATGCATCAAAGTCAGGGTTAACGTGAGTTAACATTGCAGACCAGGTTGCAGACGTTAACTCAGATGTTATCGACGGTTATCGACAGTTTGATCCAAGTGCAGTTGTGATATATGAATGAATTTGGAGTTGGTACCAAACAATTGATTCTGAGGCATACTTAACCGCAGTTAAACGCAAAACATGGCACTGCTGGAATTAAGAGCAGATTATGATAAATTTAAATAAAACTGTTGGCATGAAACGATGCTGTAGTTTGGATTTCATTAGCCGCATTTGATTCTTGTCACTTCCATCGTCAAATATATAGCGGCGCCGGTGGTTGAGTTGTAAGTGTGATTGCCTCTCACTCCTGAGGGCCTGGCTTCAATCCCAGTAGGCGCAGCTGAGATTTTTTGAGACATTCAATCTCTGATCACGCCATCCTTCGGAAGGGAAGTAAAGCCGTTGGTACCCAGTCCATGAGTTGATGGATCGACATCCAGGTGTGGAAGCTGCTTTCCTGGTGTCGGTAGAATTGGTACTCAGTACGGAAAACAAGATCGACGGAAAACAAATCAAGGGAAAAAAATTGTCAAATTTATATTTATATCATCTTTTATTGTTAAGTCAAGCCGTTGTTCGAATAATACTGCACTCGCTTCTATTGCTTCAGGTGCCAGTGATCCGAAAACTATTGATATTTGGTCCAAAATGACATGTACACTTATTGATATATATTTTTCAGATTATTTTTTTATTAACATCGATGCATTTTTAATGCATTTGGTTTATCGTGTGAGAAATTTTTCAGTTACCAAATGATAAGTCCATACATCACTCCACCGGAACTATACACTGATAAAATTTCAAAGATTGTTTTTATGAGTCCCACTCATGAATTTTTGCAATGTGATCAACAAATGGTATCTATGTGTCGGACACATACTTAATATGTGTACACATAAAAGCCATGTGTAACCACACATACTATTCATTTGACTCTTAAATTTAATGTGTGCTTCTGGGTAGATTCTGTTTATGTGTGGTCACATGAAAATCATGTGGAATTTTACATGGAAATTCACCAATAAAAATGTGTGGAATTCTATTAGTGTATGGAAGACTGGAAGCTCCAATCCTGCCATTAAGTTTTTGTTGGGTCTGCGAATACCAAAGCTGGCACAATTTATTTATTTATTTGTCGTCTATCAGTGTAGACCGTTTTACAATTGTTGTCTTAAGTGCTATTTTTACAATTTTGTCTTTGTTTATATTATTAATAATATGTCTTGAGAACGTTAAAAAAAATTACTTCTAGCAGACGTTATGCGAGGAATTAAAATATTGCTTTAATTTGGTTTTTGTCATTGTAAAGTCAATATTATCGCAGTGCTTATTATATGTGTCCATCATTTGGTTCAAGGGTCCAAATTTGGCATAATTCGTACGATGACGATTTGTAGCAAATATATTTCTATTTTGTAATTATATTTCTATTTATATAAATTTAAGAATGACAATAGTTCTATTGAATCAATGCGATGTGATACACGAAACGAAAATTAATTATTTTCTTCATGTGTATCACTTTGCAAAAACATCAGCCTTATATCTTCCATAAGACAAACCACATAGATCCTATAAAAATGCATAAACGGTATGTGTGACCATTTATACATTTCATTTGACACATGATCTTCATTTACTTTTTGCAAGGCGTCTGCTTATTAGTTGACTTATACATTTTATGAATAATCATACATAGAAATTTGCCAAAAGGTATAAGGGGATTTCTATCCGTGTACGATATCGTTTACGAATGAAATCAGCAAATTCATGACGCTCTTTTTATGTTTGGATTTTTATGAGCATGCACCGAGCTGTGTAAGATGGCAGAGGAAATACAGTCCAACCTAACTAGCGGAGTGCATACAATAGAAACAGCTTTTGAACGGACTCTATTCTTTCTTCGCGGGAGAGGAAAGGAGACCAAACTATGCTTCAATATTCTAATATCGACCTTTCATAAGCAATGTACAATGTTTTTATCGTATATGGATCGTGAAAGTTATAACAGAAACGTTTTATGAAACCAAGCATGTTGTTAGCTCTGTTAATAATTGTGTTATAATGATCTGTGAAAGTAAGGTTTGAGTCCATAATAACACCTAGATCCCTGACTCTATCACTCTTTTCTACGATCTGGTTTCCTAAAGTGATTGTTATATCGGGTAGGATTCGTTTTCTACGAATGGTAATTAAGTTACATTTTTTATATTTGATTGTAGCAGGCTTTTATGACACCAAGTATGGAATATCTGTATATGATGATGCCTTTGGCATCTTTAATTTCTAAAAATAGTTTAATGTCGTCAGCATAGAACTACTAATTCCGCTAATCCACTTATCAAATAATAAGCTGAGGTAAAATATACGTTAAATTTTCCGCTAATTTTCGTCACAAATGGTTCACTAAAGACACTAATTGATATATACATATTAGGGTGGGCCAGATTCTTGTTCTCTGACTTCTCATTGCTCTTGATTTTTGTATTGAAATCCCCAAGAAGCTATGGTAAATTTGAATGAATTAGTGACATTAATGTTAATAACGGAAAGTCTATGGGAAAAAGATGCAAAATATTCATTAGCTTGTCAAAAATGTACACATTTCTCAATATTGTCACTTTTGACTTCCATCGCCAATTTCTCGCAAACGATCATTCAAACAAGCAATGTAATAACACCATCGGACAGATGAGATATTCCCCCATCTATTGCTAATATATTTTTTATTAATTATTATTAGGGAGGTATTGACGATGGAAGTCAAAAGTGACAGTCATGCTTGGCATGCACAGTTGTACTCACATAACTTTTCACTCAGTTGCTGAAATTTGTTTTTCTTTGAAGTAATTGATAGATTAGGATCATAACTTACTACAGATATGCAAAGAGTAGGCTAATATTAACATTTGAATCAACACCAATGAATTTTTACACTTTAAGTCCGAGATGTGCAGAGAGCATTTCTCACTTGATTTTTACAACGTAAAAACAAATACAGTTTATTACTAGAATTAAAATCTACTTTTTCGTGCGTACTTATTACAAGCTTAAACTTTATTCTATCTACTGCTTCAAACAGACCTATGTTTTGTCAACTGTGTGCAAAGTTTTTAGCAAATAAGCAGTTCGTGACCAGAGCTGTGTATGTCAAGCATGGTGACAGTTACGTTATATCGAGGTATAGCTGTATTAAAAAAGCTTTATAAGTAGCGTTGAGGAGATTCTATGTAGTGTATAAAATGCCTGAATATGTTATACTGAGACCTTCTACATCTATTCTACGATTAACTGTGTTGGTAGTGTTAGATATGTATCATATTTGCAGTATTGATAGAGTGGCCGATCTATACGATCAATCAATGATCTTCACCTAGGGGAAACAGTCCTATTGTTGCGATACGTTAGAAGCGCTAGGAGCCTATTGTTGTACACAGCAATAGGCTTCTAACGCTACAAACGTTTCGCAACAATAGGACTGTTTCCCCTATATAGGGGAAATGCAGGTAATGTCGGCCTAAGTTTTCCTAATTTGGGCCCATACATAAATTCAGCAATCGACTAAATTTTGAATAACAACCAAAAATATCCATTAGTAACGTCCCAATAACGCGTTCATCTAGATAAAATTGATAAATAGCAGATTTTTAGCGATGGGCCCAATCTCAGATCCATAGGCCAACATTAGAGACATTTCCCCTATATTTTTTTTGTTTATATTGAATAAGGCATTAAAGTTATGAGCAAAAGCTTTATCTTTAGTTTTCAACTAGCAATAATCGCACCTCGGTTGTACCTCATTGGTTACGATATCGCCACTGCGCAAAGTTTAAAAGCTTTATCTTATCATCTGCCTAAATTTTTAAACATTTGGCAACTCTTCTCTAACAAATCTCCCGAATGAATGCCACATGCGGTACACCTAGTACCAACTATTCACACCAAAACTTTCATTCTAGTCAGATTCAAAATGGCGACGATGTCTTGTACCAACCAACCAACCCATACACTTACACAATGAGCGGATTGCCAACCGTCACAAATCGCAGTGTAGCGGTCGAAGAGAAAGCAAAAAGAAGTACCTCTGTGAGTTTTTGACAGCCTCTGTGCCACATACAACCATAACAGCCCCGTGTACGAGCGCCCTGAGTTGGATAGGTTCCGAGCAGCAGTCGTAGTTTTATCGGCAATTTTTCCCTGTAATCCGGTGTTCCAAGATCCGATTCCCATCGCGGCGTGTAGTTAAGTGCTCGAAGCATAGATTGTGCGTAAAGTTAACCGTTTTTAGGCATCGGAAGTGGCTGAAAAACGCACTGCAAATCTTGAGTCTTCTTCCGTCATTGTGGTGGAATACCAGGTTCTCCGTCTTTTTTTTTTGTGTGTGCGAAAGGAAAAAGCAGGTCTGGCTGACCAGTGAGAAAGTGTGAACAACAGCGTAATGCAAGTGATAAGTGATGAGTGAGTTTAGCTATATGCTGAAGCATTAGTGGCAATTGGAGGTGATTAGTGAGAATGTGCTATGAGCAGTGAGACGTGCATGGGTTGCAACCAATACTACTCTATGATGGTACCTAGTGAGGATGTACTAGTGATGAGGTGAACAGAAGAAAAGTTGAGGAAGAATATTCAATAGCAAAGTGGCATAAGCAAAAAGGTTTGTTTACTGTTTTTAACTGTTTTGATGCTTCTGTGTTTTTTTATGAAAACAGCCATGAGTAGGATAAATATTTGTGCACGAAATTTATAAGCAGAAAACAAGAGTTTAGTATTTACTTGTCATTGTAGTGTTTATAAAAATCATTATTGATGTCAGTCATTTCAAAACCAATAAACCGATCTCACTACACCTAATCAGGATTATAGTATGCTATGTACAGACTGGGGAGTTATAACATAAGGTTATCGTGATGACATTTTTCTCGTCGATAATTATTATAACACTTGTAGTAACTCTGTAGTTTGTACATAATATTAAAGTGATTGTTTTTTTTATCATTGATTGATGCAAATGTTATTTTCAATGTATGTCTAACATCACTAAAAGGGGTCGAGCGGGGGACAATAAATAACAAGGGACGAAGCAAAATACTGGCTTAACTTATTTGATAGTAAATTAAAATCGCAGAGCGAGTGACGATTTTTTATTGAGCTGATTGTTTTGCTTTTCGGGTTGACATAAATTAAAATTAAAATTTGCATCAGCTTTATGCTAATCAATATAAGTTCATATACTTATCCCATTGTATATGTTCACTGGTCACGATGTTGACTGTATGATCAAAATGTAATGTTGTGATAATAGAATGTTTTATTTAGTGGTGAATTATTGAAGCAGTAAATTTGACAACAATTTTGATCGCTCACAAATGTTGACAGTAAAACCAACGGGATAAAATAATTATTGCTATAAGAATCAGTCTTAAGAATTCTATAGTCAGGGAAAAAAAGTGAAGCATTCTGATCTTACAACGGTAAACTGAAAAGCGTACAGCTTTTGGTAAACAAAGTAAATATAATAAAGATTCGATAAAGCATGCTCGCGGCACTAATGGTTTAATCGGCATCAACATTTCAAAATGGCGAAACTAATAATGATGTCAAGCTGTGAAAAACTCCTGTTTTTGATTACCGCTGTTTAGTTTACGAAGAGAAAAAATGGATTTATTTTAAATCAGTAAGTAGTGCAGGTCTATTATTTGCACCGTTCAGCTTGAGTTGATTATTTTTCGGTTTTCAATTGCGCCCTTTTGCACAATTTTTATATATTGGCTTTCTTTCGTTTTCTTGAATTAAATTAAATGCAAAATTTTAATGGTTGTAAAAAAAAAAGAAATCACCATCATTTCTGATGGAATTGTCAAAGTTTTATCTCCCAGCGGCAATGAACGCGCAAAAATTATAGAAACTGAACCTGCTAGATCAAACGGAGGCCACTTTTCACTACATAATTGCTTCTAAGTGGTGCAACATCGGATATGCCATAGAAAGGATCAATAGGTTTGTTTCATCCATCAGAAATCAGCTGGTCCTGTCGTACATCGATAGCAGCGAATTGACCCAGTAGCTTCTGGTTTTCCATTTGCGACGATTGATGGACAAGACTCATGATCTAGCGGCGCCGGTGCTTTAGTGGTAAGCGTGATTACCTCTCACCCCAGCAAGCCTGGGTTCAATCCCAGTCAGCGCCGTCGGGATCTTCTGAGGCATAACATCTCTGATCACGCCGTTGGTCCCCAGTTCATGAGTTGATGGGTCGTTGGGTAGGGTCCAGGTGTGGGTGCTGCCTCCCTGGCGTCGGTAGCATTGGTGCTCAGCACGAAAAACAAGATCAACGAAAAACAAATCAAGAAAAAATAAAAAGATTCATGAAATTTTTTTTCACCGTTGTAAACGCTATGGCTACGTGACTATGTTATACAAACATTGCAATATTCGAATTCTTGGGGGATCCTATTCAAAAAGTTGCTGGAACGAATAAAGCCGAAGAGTTTCGTCCCATCAACATGTTGCACACTTTAGAGAAAATTTTAGAACTTGTGAAAGGCCAACTGTGTAAATAAATAGACAGTAATAGTTTGTTGATACCAGTACAAATGGGATATCTGAAAAGGCCATGCTTATGAAACCGCGTTGAATTTGGTATTAGCGAAGTGGAAAGAAAATTTCGAGCGTAAAGATACGATTGTTGCTGTTTTTTAGATCTAAAACGCGCTTGTGAAACAATTTCTTGCTTTTATTGCTACGATCAATCAAACACTTTGGAATTACGAGTACTGCATATAAATGGTTTGAAAGCTACTGTGTTTAATGATTCTGTTTCAAGTCCTGTGGGGAATAACCTTGGAGTGCCCTAGGGAAGTGTATTAGGGCCCCTTTTGTTTATTAGGTATATTATTGATTGTGAATATTTGAGGTTGACAAAACGCCTAAAGTTTTCCAAATTTATATCGCTGTGAAGCAACTGAAAAATGTTGATGGAATTTATATCCGTAACTGTAACCGATTCGTTTTTGAATGCTAATCTGGTTAAATGTTTCTTTCTTTCTTTATTCAAGAGACTTTCAGCCATCGGCTGGTTCATCTCTGGCTGGTTAAATGTTATGCTTAATTATCTTAAAGAAAAATCGTCCATTTCAATCCTTTGCGGTTGGATCATCATCCCCCCAAAGAATCACAAAAATCGGTGTCAAAAAATGCAAAAAAAAATCTTTTAAAATGTTTGATTAGAAAACGATCAAGGGCGTAGCCAGGTTTCGAGCTAGGGAGGGGCGAAAAAATTTACTATGGAACATTTGGCCGAATGCCATTTCACCGAAAGCCTTTGTGCTGCGGAGTTTATGGGGGGCAGTTGCCCTCCCCCTGTCCCCCTCTGGCTACGCCTATGGAAACGATAAGTTTAATTTGTTACTTTCCAAAATTCGATCAAATGACTCATTCGTTTCAGTAGCGTGCGGACTAGCGCCCTTAAAAACGGCATTTTCCCAATATAATCTAAGTACAAAACCATCATAATTCGATCAAAAACCATAAGCATTTAATTTGAGGTTTGATAATAAGTGCATAATGGTCCATAATGGGTTTTTACCACAGTCAGAAACCGTTCACTTCTCCGGGGGTACATGGGCACTTCAAATTACTACCATTGAACTGTTTTTCTCATGTCATTTTATTTGTCACATCATGAGTTTTACTCGTTTCATGTTGGATTTAGTCACATGGCTCATACAAACCGGAACATGTACCGGCCATATCTCATTTGACAATTGTTGCGTCCATTTCAGTTCAGTAGTTGCCGAGAAACTAGGCTTAGCATCCAATAGTGGTTACCGAGAAACACAACTTACTTCCCAAAATGCTTACTTTCATATTTCCGGAACCAGTTGACCGATTTCAAAAATATTCAAAAGCATTAGTTCATGATTCCTTTTTCATTGGTTGTTATTGCATCCAATTCAGATCAGTGATTACCGAGAAACAAGAGCTTGAACAAAATATCATTACCCACACATAGACATTTTCCAAACTGAGTCAATTGGTATATTACACTCGGCCCTGCGTATATCAGATCGAAAGTCAGTTTTCCATTCTTTGTACGAAGGGTAAAAACAAATACAAATCCATAGTTAGGCCACCAACAAACCGACATGAATGATCATACAAATTACAAAGAAATTTCTGATCAAAGCACAAAACTGACATCTGCCGCCGTGTTCGCGGAAAATATTTATCCTAGTCACGAACATGCGTACAAAATTTATGAGATGGTTCGTGTCTAATCTATTTCGTACAAATTATTTTCATCTAGATAAAACATTTCTATGGTTTTGACAGATGGGATCGCTGCACATTTGAATCGACCGTTATGGATTCTCGATCAAGAGATAAGTTTAAGTTTAATGTCGGTTTGTCGGTGGTTAGGCTATCAATCAGTGTATAGACTTATAAAAGATTTAAGACGAAAAACAAATCATAAAAAAACATGCTAAACTATCAAAAATAAAAAAAATAAACCCACAGGGGTGTAGTGGCGTTGCGCCATCATCATGTCTAAACATAATGTAAACGTTAGCTTCACGACATACGACATCGAACCTTTCAGTTACAATCATTTTTTGTGCGCAAATAATATCTGGTAGACTCTTTGGTTGCGTTTTTTCTTCATTCTAACGATTAAGCTGATAAACTTTAAAATTCTCACAAATGCTGTCAAATATAATTTTGACGGAAAATAAAGGGTGTCCACGATAAAATTGTAACGCCGGAAACTGGCTGTACATTTTTACCCTTTGAGCTTGTTTTGTTTTTTTTTTTAGTCAGAGTAGAATTCGTTCAATTATCCAAGAATTTCTCTAATCATGCCTGTTTCTTGTGTCATAAAACGTTTTGGAAACAGTTAATCCCCCAGTTTCAAGATAATCGGTTTAATGGCTGAATGGTGGTGGCAATTTCATCGTGGCTTTTTAACAAATGCTCTTACAAAAAATAAAAAAAAATAAAACAGGGTTGAAGTGAATATAGTAATGATGGAAAAAATCTACTGGTGTTTGTATAGTATTTTTTCAATCATTTTATGATTCAATATATTTTTAACAGTTCAACAAATTCTAAAAAAATAATATAATTTTATCTCGTAAAACAATAACTTTTCTATTTTTTTTTATCTTTTCCGCAGATCAAAAATGTGCGAAACCAAACGGGGATAAATCCTTTATCCGAGCTCATTATGTACAACTCTGGCAGCACTTCTTTGTGTAACAAACTGTGCAAAAACAAGTGAAGATATCATCAAAATCATCCACAGCAACAGCGGCAAGGTGGCTGCTCAAGAGAATCGAAAAGTGGAAAATGAATGATGTCTGTGCATTCATGTGATTAGTGGCTAGTGGTATTTTCTGTTTATCGGCCAGCACTGTGTGATTGTATATGTTTATGTATATCGTTGTAACTACGTAAATGTGAATTCTAAACGGGAAGAGCAAATATCAAGTGTGGGAACCGAAAAGTGAAAAAAAATAAATCGGATCTAATGCGTTAACTACCGGTTACGGTAGTAGGCAAATCAACAGCGACAGCTCGGTTAGCTGTCTGCTGTGAAAAGAAAACTGTCATCGGTCTCTAAGTGGGGCAATACAAGCTATTGGAAGCAACACAAAAGGGATCCCGAATTTTCCCCGGAGTCTGCCGGAGGCCGTCGCACTTTTGCGTCCGCCTTGGCTGACATCCGTGTCTTAGTACGCCAATGAATCGTCGGCAATCGTTGGACAAGCCAGGTGAGCAAGGTGAAAATCTTAGTTTTTTTTTTAATTTTATTTACTATCTTTTCTCGAAATTTCATTATCTATTCTGCTAAACGTAAGAGATTAATTATCTACCTGAATTGCATACCCAAAATTGAGGCGACAAAATACCAAGATACCTACGCTCTTTTCTCACATACCTAGCAAAAGCTGATATTGGGCTGCAGTTCTTTGTGGTGTGCAGTGTACGATTGATGAGATGGGTTCAGCTCACTGTTGCGAAACACGTTCACAAGTGTAATGAGCTTGACGAATGCGGATGTTTTGACTGTCAGATCTAGGATCATCCAAATCATCTTCGGTCATTTTTAGAGAACCAGAACAACCAGCTTGAAAGGCCGTATGTTACCAAAAATAAAGATTGAAACAGTTTACACAACAGTTCTCAAAAAAAGAGGGTGATTGAATTATACTTCGTGAGTAGTGAGTTTCGAAAATTAAAGTGAGAAACGTATTAGAAAATATACCTCTACAGAAGAGCGTACACGAACGAACGAATGAATCAATGAATGAAAGCAGAAACAAGTGAGCAAAACGAAGAAGCAAAAACATTTCCCATACGGGTAGCGAATCGCAATTCAAGAGCCACATGTGAAAAGGGCATACAAGCTTTTTGTAAACAAACCTTTGTAGGCCCTTTTCTCGCCAACCGACGGTGGCCCACGCAAACCAGCAATATCATCGGGAAGAGAAAAGTGTCCCCTGCCCGGTGATGTTAAAGGTTTGCGTTCGTGTCATATGGGTGGCGAGAAAAGGGCATAATAAGGCTTGTTTACAAAAAGCTTGTATGCCCTTTTCACATGTTGTTCTGGAATTGTATACATCAGTGATGCTAGATGTTTTTAGAGCATTGATGGGAGCTAGGTTGTGAAATGATAAATCTAGATAGAGCTGGAATTATGGCGTAACAGCTTTTGTAAACAATGACTTCTCTTAAAGATTTCAAGGAATTCAAGGCACGCCTACGCAATCCAATACAACTATCGGGTAGAGGTAGTCTTCCTCTACTCGATGATGATGTTGATTTGCGTGAGAAAGCGAGCCTTGATTTTGTAGAAATCCTTGAGAGAAGTCATTGTTTACAAAAGCTGTTACGCCCTAATTCCAGCTCTATCTAGAAATATAGACTAACATTTGAAAAGAGGGAATTCCAAAATAACCATATCGAGAAAATCGCTTTCGAATTTGGTTGACCCAAAAATTAATCCTATTTCACGACTTTCCATGATATGGATGATTTTTATTAGCATGACATATAGTTAATAGTGTAATCTATCATCATGTATCACTAAAAACTCAAAAAACCGGTTTTTAACGTGAAATTGAGACGAAAACATCATACGCCCTGATAAGTTCTTACATGTTGTTACCCTCCGGATCTTCCATAATTTGAACTGCCAACACTGGTGATACGCCGTTGAAATACACCCTCGGGATTTTTCGTTTGTTGTTCCGCCTATAATATTATTAGATAAACCTTTTTATACCTAAATTCATGAAAAATATGACAGATCTTTCTCATCAAATCATAAAATGATCAAAGATATCAACGATCAATTTTCATCAATTTAAGTATTATCGGTACAGTTGAAAACCGGAAAACCCCACACGCGACAATCGATTTGACTCTTGTTCTGCGCACTATGTTCGACGTTATGTTTAACGTACAAACGAGAGAAAAATCGAATGTCGCTGTAGACGAAAGACGAAAAAAAAATAAGGCAGTGGAATTTAATGGAAATTACTAATCCTTCTCTCTCTCCAAAATCCATTGGCAAAAATACTATATTGCTGGTTTAACCCTCACTAATAGATTTTTGCAGAACACATTTTCATATAATTTTACTATTATTTCTATTAAAATTACTATGCATTTTGAGCATGCATAGTAGTTTTGCCAGAATCATAGTAAATTTGTTAACATTCATAGTCAACTATAATGGATTCATAGTAGATTTAACAGTAATAAGCGTGGCAACATTGAAACAAGGACCATAGTTAGGAATACTATTTTGCAGAAAACACTTATTCTCACCACGCTTATTACCGTTAAATCTACTATGAATTAAGTAAAGTTAGCTATGAATGTGAACAAATTTACTATGATTCTGGTAAAACTACTATGCTTGCTCAAAATACATAGTAATTTTGATATAAATAATAGTAAATTAAATGAAAATGTTGTCTGCAAAAATCTATCAGTGAGGGTATTTAATTTAAACCAGCAATATACACTGAAGTCTTTTTTGCACGGTTTTTTTTCATGCGGTTTTTTTTTACACGGTTATTTTTACACGGTTTTTCGCGATTACATTTCTCGACAACGATACAACCTATCGACTTGATTCCAATCACATTATCCATTTCAAGCTTTAGGTAATCGAATGGCATACTTAAAAAAAATCACTATTTTTGGTGTAAATACAGAAATTTTTAAAATATGTCTATATGGACATCAAAATCCGATTTTTTAAAAACATTTAAGCATGCGAAAAATCAAAATCTCGTAGGTATTTTTTTCCACGGTTTTTTTTACACGGTACGTATCCCCCGTGTAAAAAAAGACCTGAGTGTACCTAGTATTTTTGCTAATGGATTTTGTTTCAGTGTATACTGATAATAAGCGTTTTCTGCAAAATAGTATGGTCCTTGTTTCCGTGTATTGTCTTTGTGTCGTTATGTCTTGTTTAGAATATAGTGTTGTGGCATGATATAATAATTATCGACAAGAAAAATGTCATCAAGATACGGTTATAACATGTTATAACTCTGTAATCTGAACATAGTATAAACCCCGCTTTATAACATGACTATGGATGATGATGATACAGCTGGCGATTTTGCTTTTGGCGCAGATTGTATTTTTCCACTATCCTTTCAAATACTCATACCGAATATTGAAACTTGAATAAATGCTCATATTAGCACGGTTTCGTTAAGGACAAGGTAGATTTAATCCACATATGGCCGGTGTAATGGCTTATTTGCTATGGAAATTCAGCCATGACAGCGGCCATTTGCGCAAAACGTAATGCAATATAGGGGAAATGGATGTAACGTCGGCCTAAATGCCTCTAACTTGGGCCCATACATAAATATCCGTACGTCCCAATGACGCGTTCATCTAGATAAAATGGATAAATAGCAAATTTTTAGCGATGGGCCCAATCCTAGATCAAAAGATAAATGAAACAAATAATCCAACAACTTTAATCGCATTGTTTTTGCATTTACTTTAAAAAATAAATCTAACCTTATTGGAAACATACATTCAGAGTGGCCAGCAAACCGGGAAAACCGGTAATGCCGGGAAATATCCGGGAATTTGAAAAGTAACCGGGAAAAAAACCCGGGAATTCGACGAAAGCACAGGGAAACACAAATTAACCACACAATTGAAAAAAAAAATTGACACCATATTTTCAGAATAAACCATTAAAACAGTGATTCTTTACCAAATGAATGGCTTGCTCTGTTTGCTGTTTGCTGCATAATTTTCTTCAGTTTCCCGTCTTAGCCTTAGTTTTTAGAATTTAATCACTCAGCAATATTTCAAATTGATTTTTATCGTTTCAATTTCAGATGTAAAGTGCATGGGTCTTAAAAGAAAATATTGAGGATGCTGGACTTCGGAAACAAACTTTTTGTAAAAACCGGAACTGAACTATTCTTTTCCGGGGTTTTAATTTTCGTTATTCAAAATTCTCATGATATATGAATCCCAGAATTAACTTGGAATTCTGCTCTGAATAATCATAGAATTCTTTTAAAAGAAATCAGAAAGCACTCCGCGTAATAACAACCGTTGAATTCTTTTTGGAATTTTCTTGAAACCCCTTCTTAGAATTTGATTGGAATCCTTCTTAGAATTCCCTTGAACTATTCGGAGATTTTGATTCCATTGAAATTCTTTTAACTTTATTCAAAACATCAGAAATCTTTCGCAATTTTATTTTAGGCCCTTGGTGTTTCTTAAAGAATTTTTTTCTTTAAGCAATTTTGTTGTAGTCAATTTTGTTGGAACTCTGTGATGAATCTTTCGCACTAGAGTATCGCCAGAACACTCTTAGAACTCTGTTTCTTGTTGAATTCTCATCATAGTTCTCTTGGACCTCTTCTTAAAATTCATCTGTTATTTTCTTCACGATCCCCATACAAATCTTCTCAAAATCACATAGGAATTTTCCTTAAAGTTTTTGTTTCACAACTCCTTTTGAAATCTTCTAAAATTATATAAGAATTTAATTTAGAACTTGCATTTTTTCCACAGAAATTCCTAGAAATTCATCTAACAATTTCCAAGGACCATGTCAGAATATTTCTGGAATTCTTCTCAGAACTTCCCCTTCGAAAATTATGAGGGAATCCTTCTCAATATTTGTTTGAAATCAACACTATTAATACTTTTAAAGTTTACTTAAGATTCCAAGGTTTCTATAGATTGTTCTGTAATTTGTTATAACCCTTAAAATGCCTTCACGACTCATAAGTATGACTTTTTTTTTCTCAAATCTGTGATGCTGAAAAAATGTCAAAATCTCACGTCTTAATTATTTTTTCTCGAAATTTTGCATCACGAAGATTGTTATTAATCACAAATTTTGAAGAAAAGTTCTTGTTTCAGACCCTACACAAATTGTAAAACCCCAGAATCTTGGGAATTTTCTTAAATCACATTTGTTTAATCTCATTTGTGTTAAATTAAATGAACCATGTTTAGTTTCAAGTTGAGCGGGTTCCAACATCAGTACTGCCCATAATCGTATATCAGTCCCATATGGATAGGAAATCAAGCAAAGGTGGGACTGATATGCGATACGGGTAGAGTAGAATTTACTTATTTTTTTCGAGTTTAACTTTGTACAACAGCGTGAGTACTGAAAGGTTAATATTTATGTCTGTATTGACAACGAAGTTAAGGTGAATCGCTGTGACATCCTTACTATCGGAACCACTTCGAAACTTTAAGTGCACAAATATCA